GCCAGGTTCAAATATAACATTATGGGGACTAGTAATTGCATCAGTAGCTATCCTAAAAATAAATCCAGCAAGTTCTCCATTAGGATGAGATGGTGGACTCCATGTTATATTGATAGTAGTTTCATTTACAACTAGTACAGTATAAGCTACTGTTAAATTATTAATGACAACTGGTGACACTACCAGATGAGGTGAGCTAGGAACTGTGTATTGTATTTTAATAAATGTATCATAATAATATACTTACTGTCTGGTAGTGTTCTTCCTGCAGTAGTAGCCACTGGTCCAGCTCCAATGATTGTACTAGCACTAACACTAGCAGTGTAATTCTGATATGGACTGAAACCATCAACTAATTGTGTTACTGTAGTTTGATTGTCAGCTACAAGTATTGTATAGTTATGCCTTCTCAGAGTATTTTGTTCGATGATGTTCAATGAATATTTGATAATTATTCCATTAGGAGTAGCTGGATTAGCCCATGTAAATGTAATTGCAGTTTTATTAGGTGTTGAAGTGAAATTCCGAGGACTATCAATTGGTTCTATTAAAAGTTTAACAGAGACATAATAATGAACTAAATTGAAACTAATGTTAAAATTATTATTTAAGAAGACCCACTTCACCTGTATTATAATATCAAGTGTATACTTACTATCTTGAGCTGTTTCAAAAGTACACTGGGTAGAGGGTCCTTCTCCTACTACATTAATGAATGACAGATTACAAGTGTAACCAGTAAAAGGCATAACATCAGTAATAGTGAACATTGTGTTCGTTAAAGATTGTGTTGGGCTCAATCCATTAATTGATACACCATTAGTATCCATGCATGCTAAATAATAACCAACTGGTGTTCCATTTTGATCTATTAGTGTTGGTGCAGTCCAGGCAAGTGTGACATTACGTGGTAGAAATGTTATATTAGCACAATCTATTGGAGAAGCCACTGGCACTGTAATTGAGAGAAAATTAATAAAATAATTAAGTATTTGCTTACATGTTGGAAGTGTTCTGAAGCTCATCTCTGCAGTACTAGTAGTACCAAGACAATTGGTAGAATCAACTGTATATGTATAAGTGTTATCTTCCTCAAGGACAGTCAACATGATCATAAATTCTTCATGAATTGCAGTAATATTATTGGAGCTCATTTTTATTATAGAAGTTGCTTGTGTTGTTTGTAAGATTGCTCCAGTATACTTAACACTGTAGGTTTCAGGTGTATAGGCAATGTTAGGTATTATGAATGATACAGCAGCAGTAGTTGTTCCTGGAGTAGCTGTTACATTAGTAGCAGAAACAGGTAGGCTCTGAGCTATAAGGTAGTAAAGAAAAGCAGAGTGGAGCAGTGAAAGAGGAGAAATAAAACAAGGGAGAAAGAAAGGGAAGACATATAAAGTGTTGGAAAACATAATGGATTAATGGCACGTTTATCCACATAATCACATACAGATGTACAGAATAATTAATACTTATATTTACATAGCAACTTACACTTTATTGTCACAATTCTTTCCTCACTAGTCATGATTGTAGTTGAATTAATACTAGCAGTACATCTATAAGTACCAGAATCAGAAGCAGTACTCGAGCTGAAACTTAATTTATTAGTAACGACAGTTGTTGTAGCATTCTCAGTAGTAGTCACAGTACCAGTTTCTATTGTACCATTATGTGTCCATGCTATTACCAGGTTTGGTATTATTATGGTTGGTTTAGTGACTGTACAAGTTAGAGTGAAGTTATCATAAGGATATGAGTCAGGACATGATGTTTCCAGGCCCAAAAATGAATCAGGGGAGATAGAAAAATTTCCAATCATTGGATCTATCAAAATTTAAATACTGTAATAATGATGAAGTGCATGTCCATGATTATTGAGCATGTATAAAAATGAAAGTAGCCTTTTAGTGTACAGGGTCTTTAATTAAAATTAAAATGCTCAGAATTGAAATTGGCTCAAATTTTTACAGAGTATAAGATCTACCATTACATATTTAAAAATGGCACTTCTACATAAGTGTATAATTCTTACCAGTAACAATTAATTCAACACTCATATGATTAGTATCAGAAGTCGTAACATATTCATAAGCTGGAGCTGGTTCTATAGTAGCAATGCATGTATATGTTCCTGAATCCTCAGTACTGCTCAATGTAGTGAAATTAACAGTTGATCTATACTCATTAAAACCTGATCTCATCATAACAGAGCTGATGTTTACCCGGTTTGTATCAGCAAACATCATTACATTAGGGTCAATTTCATCTTCATTATCACCACTACTCATGATTTGTTGATTGATCATGTTCCAGGTTACATTAACAGTAAATGGTGTATCAACATTAGGATCAACACTGATATCACATGTTAGTATCAAGTTACTGCCAGCTAATAAATTACTATCTCTTGATCTGCTTACATCAACAGCTGGAATGGGAACTAAAATACAATCAATTAAAAACAATTATTGAAAGGAATAAGTACACAATGTAATCAATATCAATAAACAAGCACTCACACAATCAGAGCATAAATAATTTTAAAATAGTGTATACAATGTATTCACATATTTTTACATAAGTGCTACATTTTTTCCCACTAACATAGGTATTTTGTCAGTTTTTTAAAATGGCCATATAACTTTAAAAATTGAGATTGGAATCAGCTTAAACTTTTCAAACAGCATAAGGACATTAATTTGCATTAATAAAAATTAGAAATGATTCTGCAGCCATTTTTTAAAAAAGAAAATTCGAGTTGCCAAGAAAATAATGGAAACAAGGGCAAGTAGAATTCCAAATGACCAACTCATTACAAATGACTCACTATACCCAAACTAACAAAAATACAAAACAAAAAATACACACTATCATGCATATGGTATAGAAAATTAAAAATATCAATTATAATCATTGTACTACTTACTTTTTAATGGTAAGTTTGATGTGTCATCACTCCTTGCTACTATGGATATCTGGCTAACATTAATGGATGCTTCACAAGTATACAGACCAGCGTCAGAAGTATTGAGAGAGGAGAATCTCAAATAAAAAGAACTCATTGCATTAGATACATTCATAAGAACTGGAGGTACACTAATAACATTGTTAGCTGATCTCTTAGTCCATGTTATCACTGGTGAGACTATGAGTCTATCAACAACTGTCACTGTACAATTTAACATGTATTCTTCACCAGGTTCAGCCATACCCATAGTTACTATCTCGACTACTGGCCTAGGATTAGCTGAAAAAAAGACAAACAGTCATTACCAATAAAGTGATATTATTATGTAGGACTTGAATAGGATTACAGAATTGTTTCAGATTATATAGTGGTAACATCTTAAAACAAACTTTGAACCAACAAAATGGCAATAATCAATCCAATAATAATCACCCTGCACAGCTCAAAGAACAATACAATAGCACCTATATCAAGCTAATGAAAGCTTTTTGGTACCATTACACAAAAATGACTAGTATCTACAGCATATATGCAGTCTACTTACCAAAAACTGTAATAAAAGTATTAGCACTAGTTGTTGTATTCCTGAGATATGTGTAACTATTAGGAGCAGTCACTTCAATGTTACAAGTATACATTCCACTATCATCAGCATTATCCAATGGATAGAACATTAATGTTGCATTATAATGTAATGTATTGATCATATTGAGATCCACAGTAATAGTAGCATCAGATGAACCCATAGGAACATTAGTACCATCACGTGTCCATTTATTAGTTACACTTACTGGTATAGTAACTAATAGATCTAACATTATGTCACATTTAATGAAGAAAGGTGTCCCTGCATATAATATATTATTACGCTCCTTTGATATAGTAACAATCACTGGTGGAACTATGAAAATATAATAAATAATTAGAAGAGTATGTATCAGACTTTTATAGTAAGAATAAATGTCTTTTTGAAAATTAACTCACTAGCAGCTCTACATATTGTACAGAATAATGTTAACTTACAGTCAACAATCAAATTTAAGGTATCACTATCCTCTTGATAATCATAAGTAGCAGTGCTAGGATCATTGGTATTATTAGAACCAGTTACATTAAACTCAGCCATACATGTATACATTCCAGCATCTTCAAATCTCACTGGATTCAGTATTAGAGTATAGTTAGTAACTGAACCAGTATCATCTGTTGTGATACTGTATGGTCTATTTAAGTTAGAGAGCATTTCCATATCTGTATCATTCATTTTGATGAAAGTAATCATTGGTGTTACTACTAATCTCTCAACTGTTGTTACGGTACATGTAATAGTTAGACTCTGACCAACTTCGACTGAACCAACTGATGAGAAATCTACTGTCATTGGAGGAAGACCTATAGTGAAAAACAGAATAAGTAGGGAGAAGAGAGTGTGTGTATTTGTGTAGAGACAAAGAGCATGAGAATTAACAATAAATGCAAAAGAGGTTGAGAGGAGAGAATTGTAGGCAATAGAGGAGCAGTATATAATAATTTACTTTCAACTGTAACATCAAGGGTAGTATTAGTAGCTTGACTTGATGCTATTAATGAGTTACCAGAATTGATGGTCATTTGACAGGTATATGTTCCTCCATCATTATTATGACCAGTATCAATAGGTAGAAACAATAGCATGCTTACAAGACTGTTACCAGTTGGAGGTATCACTTGACGTCTTGCTTCATTAGTTGGTATTACATTACCACTAGGATCAGTCCATACTACACTAGCAGTTACTGGTGTATCCACTATTATAGTGTTTACTGTAGCTGTACAGGTTAGAAAATATCCTGTACTTTCGTATATTGGATCAGTTGGAGGATCAGCAGCTATTGATACACTGGGAGGAGATACTATACAAGAAGGAATACACCATTAATAATTAAAAAAACTAACTTTGTACAATTAAGTCTCTGTCAGTACGATCTACATAGCTAAATGCATAAATTGCTGCTTGACAGTAATATCGTCTAGCATCAGTTGTCTTAACTGGATCAAGTGTAAGTACACTGGTGAATATATTTCCATTTCTAACAACAGGTACTAGTGTAGCATCATTGTTTTCACTGGTCACATCTTGAGATGCTTGTAAATCATAAGTCCATCTGACACTAGTAAGATCTTCAACAAAATTAGGAGGCACAGCTATAACACAAGATAAATTGAATACATCACCAGCAACAGGAACAGAAAGAGTAGTTAGAGTTACACTAACATGATTATAATTAAACCCTATCAAAATTCATGTAAAAATATGTAAACTGACATCAAAATCTATTAAAATATAAATGAAAGATGATTAGTAAATTTACTTACTTGATACAGTTAATGTAACTGCATTGCTATTATTATTCGCTGCTATTACGTTAGGAGTATTAGGAGCCACACTAACTGAACAATTATAACTAGCACCATTATCAAGTTCATCTCTTAAACTATTAATACGTAACACACCAGTGTACTGATTATTAGTCATAACTGGAGGACTGATAGTAAAATCACTTCCATTGGTCAGTATAGTGTTATTTCTTCTCCAAATCATAGAAAAACTAACACTAATATCAATATCAATATATTGACTGATGTCAGCTATACACATAATATCAAGAAACTGTCCTTCTGCTAGTTCTCCATCTACTAAATGTCCAGTAGCATTATACTCAACAATAACTGAAGGAGTTGGCACTATAGAAAACAATAAAGAAATGAAGCATGTTTAAATATTTCAACATACATGTTAATATCACTTGGGTAGTTTCCATTCCATTAAATTCATAGTCTATATCAGGTTGAGTGATATTAACAATACACTGATACTCTCCAGCATCAGAGGACCTCAATGAATTAATCATAATCATTGCTGTAGTATCACCAGATCCAGTAGCACTAGCAATGAGTTCTCCCTTTCTTACTATACTGCTAATAACATTATTATTGTATAGTTCATCTAGCATGTCAACTGTGCAATTAATGGTTAAAATCTCTCCCAGTGATCTACCAGTAGTAGTAGTGAATGTGATATTAGGAACAGGAATGGCTATAAAATGATAATAAATGATCATTTGTATTTTACACTACATGTACATTACCTTGTATAGTAGCAATATATTCATCGGAAGCACTGCTGGACTTTATTAATGAATTATTAGCACCATCTCTCACTGTAGCAGTACATGTATAATTACCAGCATCAGAGAAATTGAGTGGATGAAAGGTAAGAGTACCAGTAGTTTCAGTTTGAACTGCTATTAATCTGGAACTGTTCTCAAATGACACTTTATTACCATCTTTGAAGACTGTAAATGAGACATTAGGATTAGTAGGTAAAGGAGGAGTGAAAACAACAGAACATCTAACAGTTCTAACAGTTCCACAAATAAAAGGAGAATTGCCATCAGGGTAAACAGAAACTTGTGGTAAAGGAACTGTACAAAAAAGTTAAACTGTTAAAATTTTTAATTCTAACTTACTTATTATGCTGACAGTTGCAGATCTATTTCCATCTAATAGGTCATTGTTATCTATACCGACATTAAGAATAGCATGGCAAGTGTAAACTCCAATATCTGAATAGCTAAGTGAATTAAATATATAATCATATTTTTTTACAGTATTAGAAACAGTAACTAAATTAAATCTTATTCCGTTTTGTCCTTTCAGTTTATTTCCATTGCCATCAAGCCAGGTTATATTGAGGTCAAAATCTCCAGCTACAAATGTGACAGTGCAACTTAATACATACAATTGACCAGCAAAAACAGGGTGACTTGAGAATATGGATACAATAGGATTAACTAAAGTAGAGATAAAGTAAACAAATACTCCATAGATCTATTTACTTAATGTCAGGAGGTTGTGAGTAGTGCTAGCTGTTTTAGTTGCTGGTACATCAGAAATACTAAGAGTAGCTACACAAGTATAATCATCTCTTTCATGAGTAGAAGCATTAAGAGAACTGAATGATAATGTGGCCATAGACCCACTATTGGTAACAGTGACTCCTTCCAGTGTATCATTAGTAAACACAGTACTATCAAGAACCCATTGAACACTAACAGTAGCAATACTTGATACATTAGCTGGTGCAGTTCCAGTACATGCTAACTGGAATGGGTCTCCTGTTACTGGAATACCAATATGAACAATAGAAATCATTGGTAGTGGTACAACTATGGGAGAAATTACACCATAATCATAGCAATCATTATGCATACAACAAGCCTATGCCTGAATTTAAGTAATCAAAATTTCAATTCTAACTTACTTTCAACCATAACAGTAGAATTAGTTGACCTAGCAGTAGTTGGTACTATTAGTTCATTCACATTACAAGCAGGTCCAACACTAGCAGTGCAATAGTAATCAGTTCCATTATCTGATAAAGTTGTAGTAAATGTAAAGCTACTTTCATAATTAGATGAGTTGATCATTCTAGTGCTCATGTCATATTGAGCATCATTCATTGTAATGAGTCCGTTAGGTCCAAACCAACTAATGTTAACAGTTTGATTAACATTCAATGGAGTAATAGTGACGATACACAATAACTGAATGTCATTGCTCTCAAAAATAAGTCCTGTTGTATTGAGGCTAGTTGTGATCACAGGGGTAGGTACTATACATTGCATGAATAAAAATATAAATATATTTATTGAATGCTTACCTAGTACAGATACAGAATAATTTGATGTTATAGTAATAATATCAATGCCATCATCCAAGAAAGCTCTACAAACATATTCTCCAACTTGTGATGCTTGCAATGAACTGAAGTTAAGAGTAAGTGTATATACAACACTATCATTAACTGATATGATTGTAGGCTCTAAACTATCTAAAATTATGCCTCCATCAGTTGTAGAATTGAAGGGAATGAGATCAGGACTTTTCCAGAGCATTTCAGCCATAGTATCATTCACTTCAGGAGCTAATGTCAATGTACAGGTTAATGAAAAGGAAGAAGAATGATCCAATGGCATCACAACCGGCCCTTGTATACCAATACTGGCATCTAAATAAAGAGTTCAAGTGCAATACATTAATATGTACACACTGACAAAAAGCAAGCTAACTAAAAAGTAAAATATTGTAACTGACCAGTAGTTGAATGAGGAAGTGAACTAAACTCTTGACATGATACACAAAGTACCAATGATAAGAAAAATAACCAGAGCATCATATCTCAGACTCATAGATCTACACTCAAGTTTGCAGATCTCTATGTTTAGAAAACAATTTTGGAAAGGAATTTCAGTTTAACTAAATTATAACAATAACAGTAAAGAACAACTGTGATTAGTCATAATGTCAACATTCATTACACTATCACTGTATCATAGCATAACTAACATATGCAAGCAATTTAAAGAGCACATATTGTAAACAGGATATCAAAATTTTTGAGATAAAACTAAGGTTTCTTGCAGAATTTTTGTATTAGGCCTACAATTAACTATAAGTATTAAGTGTTGATATTGTGAACAAACTGTAACCCATTTTGAAAATCAACAATATTGTAACTATAGTAAACTTTACATTCCTACAATTTCATTACAGCAAAACCATTTTCTCTACCAACTGTCACTGAGCAGTGTGGGGTAATGCTGGTACAGCTACACAGGTTTGTTTTGTTAGGAAACAAAGATTCAAAAGAAAAAAAATTATAAAAACAAAACATACAGTGTTAGACTGGACATTATATACTCAATAACATGAAAAGTGCATTAAAATATTAATTAATTAGTCACTGGTTCTCATTGTATCCCTCCATGCTGTGGTAGGTTTATACTAGCTATTATAATTAAAATATTATAAGAACCACTAGACCCTCTATCTGATCCTGTATCATCATCACCTCTATTAGCAGGATCATTATGCAGTATCATCCACATATCAAACCATTTCATACCATGGACATTATAGTCTAACTGGTTATATGCACAAGAATGAGGAAGGAACAAGATTTTAATACAATTGAATGACCATGAATGGATGAACACTCACATGTACTGGGGTATACCTCTTACCCTCTTGTCTTTCAATGAATGTCTATCATAAGCTCTTTTCCCTCATTTTCCTTTCCTACCTTTCTCTCTCCAACCCTTGTTCCTCTCTCTTGTTTTTTGTGTGTTATATTACAATCCACACCACAAAGACAATGAGAATAACTAGACTATTATGGAATAATAAAAATAGCAAGTATGTGTATTAAAGAAATCAAGAGAGAAAAAGAGCAAAAAATAGAAAGAGGAACAAAGAAAGGTACAATATGATTAATTAAAATTGCATGGTGTATGTATGTACATGCATGTACATGTACACTATGCATACATGCATACATGTTTATTTCCTGTTCCTGTGTTGTCATCAATCTTAAAATTATTTGAAATACCAGTACATGCACACAATATGTATGCATGTATGCATTTATACAATACCTTGATGTTAAAACACTGGTGTCACAAAACACTCTATGTGTTACAAATTATCGTGTTGCAATTTTTAGAGTGTAGCTTCAATTATTACCACATGTTATTTCCAAATAAAAGGTGCTGAATTCTTGTTTCAATGAATGTGCCCCACAGCAACAGTCCAGTAGGGTGTAGTATTATGAAATATGGTGTTACTTTTCACTAACACTCATGATCAGCACTGCTAATGTGTCACAAAACACCCCATATAGTGCTAATTAGGATGTTGCATACCTTTGGGTGTAGTTTAAAATCTTACGTTAATGATGCCCCACAGCAACACTGTAGTAGGGTATACAGTAGTTATATAAAATCTGGTGTAACGTTTCATTAACACTCATGATCAGCACTGCTAATGCATCACAAAGCACCTAAATAGGATGTTCCAATTTGGAAGTGTTGATTTAACTAATTTCAGTAAGATGCCATTAGTAACACTGCAGTAGGATGCAGTAGGGTGTACCACACATGTGGTACACCCATCCTTTGCTGCTCTGTAGGTGTAACTGTAAAAGCAGTTTTTGGACTATGCAGATCAGTGGATTGACCAAGTTTAGTCAAAAATTAGACTAGAACAAACTATCAATATATGTGTTCACACTGAGTTCATATAGATCTAACTTTTACGCATGCATCCTTTATGAGAAACATGATAGTGAATTCAATCACACTACTTATAATATTCATGAAGTTACACCTCAATGTAGTGCAAGTACTGGACTGTGGAACTAATGTTTCTTTGGCCCCTTGCTTATTTCATTCCAACAACAACAGCAACAGTATAATAACAACAATAATAATTATGTGAAATAATCATTACATTATCGGCACAAAAATAACTTCAGTAATAGTAGATTGATAGAGTAATGCAAACAAACCACATTCTATTATCCTAGCCTAATTGAATTAAAGTCCATTTGTGTTCACCTGAGCCCTTGTTTTCTTCCAATAACTTTTGACTTACAAGTTCTATTGTAAAAATAAACATACCAGTGTATTCCTCTCCTTTTGCCGCATCTATTGTACTACTTAAGAAGCAGCTTTAGCTCTTTAGCTCCAAGTTGGCTGTATAACCCATGCAGAAAGTACAGCCATACTTTTCACAATATTATTGCATTGTGTTAATTATTGGGTGGGGTTTCTAATCACTTCCTGGGCTCAGGTGAATGCAAATGGACTTTAGTTCTCTGTGGGCAGTCACACATAAAGCTACTCCCACTACTCTTCCACTAGACTAGTCTATATACTGACAAGATGATCGATGTCTCCCAATGGAGAGCAAGTATTGGACTGTGGAACTATATATACTGTCAAGCTGCCTCCAGTAGACCAGCTAATGGCCGCCACTCTCACTCATTCAAAGCTGCAGGAGACAGCAAATCAGGTAGTAGATCTACTACATCAAAAGAGATGACATCTAAAATGCCAGCAGTTCTGTCTCTTATTGCTTTCCTCCTCCTGCTCTTTATTTCTCTATCTTTAATAAGATACATCTTGATGATCTCTATAGCAGGTAAACATCAATTGCTGTATATTTACTGGTATTTTTATTATAGGTAACTGCTACCAAGTGCAATGTACTACTAATGTCACTGTTACTAATACAAATTACCTTCAGTCAGTAGTCTTACCTGGAGGCAGCAGTTCTAACCTGATTTACAATGATCTCTATTTGATTGTTTGTATACGTATGCTCCTCCTCTTATCAGGAGATGTTGAACTCAATCCTGGTCCTATGATTGATGATCGACCTGATATTTCATTGCTAATTCAATGGCTTGAACCACTTGTTGACTGGAAACCATTTGGTCTTGGTTTACCAGGAATTACTTATTCAGATATTTCAAAGATTGAAGCTGAACTTGTCAGAATTGATGAAAGGAAGTTAGTATTGTGCTCAAAATGGTTGAACATAGTGCCCAATGCAACATAGGCTGATGTAATTAATGCACTAAACAAGACAAGAGAAAATGGCATACTTGTACGTGATATTAAAGAAAACTTACAAAAAAGTGCACCATTATCTGCTAGTAGTTATCGTACTGTCACTACCAACCCATCACAAAGAGAGGTGAAGTTTGAAACTGCAGAAGATGAAAGAGAAATATTACAAATATTAATTCGCCTCAATAAAGAGTTCTCTCTTTTAATTTTGCAAGTACGTTTAGGTCTTCAGACAAAAATAGAAAATGATCCTGGGCAGTTAGCTAATCTCATCATATGGTTGGAAGTTTACATGCATTGGAATGATAAACTAACAAATGCATCATTAAATGAAATATTCCATATTATATATCCATTTTATGATTTTATTGATTGCAGTCTGATAGTGGACATGACAGAAGTTTTTTTACAGGATTTCAAATTTGGTAATGAATATTTAGTTCTAAGTAAATTAAAAAATTACAAGAAAAAAGCTGACAAACTTCGTTTTTCAGCTCAAGTGAAGCATCTAAATGAAGCACTGAAGGAAATATATGGAGAACATATACTAGATACATCAAATGTGCCAACAATTATACTGAATGTCAAGGATCACCGACAGAAGATAACGCTGAGTGGTCTTTAGTTTTAAAAAGATATTTTACTCAAAAACGAACAACAAGGGAGAGAGAAATGTGCGTGCTTATATATAGTAGCAAGATGTCCAGAATGTTCAAGAAGAAGGATACAAACACAAGATCAAGAGACTAAGAGAATAATCTAGAAAGTTCAGTAATAACATATAGATCTAATCTGTCAAAAGTGGTTAAATAATATCCTCAACAATTGTTATCCCATGGTGATCCATTACACTTCCTCCTTCCTTCTCTGGCACTTTGTGCAGGGTATCATCTTCCAATCGAGATAAAGCATCAGCATTAGCGTTATCTCGTCCTTTCTTGTGTTCCACGACAAATGTATACGGTTGAAGGATCAGACTCCATCTAGTCAAGCGACTGTTCTTCTCTCTGAATTGATGCAACCATTTCAAAGCTCTATGATCAGTCTGGATCACAAAAGGTCGTCCTAGTAGGTAAGCCTTAAAATGCTTCACTGCTAGTATAATTGCAAGACACTCCTTTTCTATTGTCGAGTACGCTCTTTCCCTCGGAAGGAGTTTCTTGCTGAAGT